GTCTATAGTCTAGTCTATAGTCTAGTCTATAGTCTAGTCTATTAGTCTAGTCTATAGTCTAGTCTATAGTTAGTCTTAGTCTAGTCTATAGTCTAGTCTATAGTCTAGTCTATAGTCTAGTCTATAGTCTAGTCTATAGTCTAGTCTATAGTCTAGTCTATAGTCTAGTCTATAGTCTAGTCTATAGTCTAGTCTATAGTCTAGGTCTATAGTCTAGTCTATAGTCTAGTCTATAGGTCTAGTCTATAGTCTAGTCTATAGTCTAGTCTATAGTCTAGTCTATAGTCTAGTCTATAGTCTAGTCTATAGTCTAGTCTATAGTCTAGTCTATAGTCTAGTCTATAGTCTAGTCTATAGTCTAGTCTATAGTCTAGTCTATAGTCTAGTCTATAGTCTAGTCTATAGTCTAGTCTATAGTCTAGTCTATAGTCTAGTCTATAGTCTAGTCTATAGTCTAGTCTATAGTCTAGTCTATAGTCTAGTCTATAGTCTAGTCTATAGTCTAGTCTATAGTCTAGTCTATAGTCTAGTCTATAGTCTAGTCTATAGTCTAGTCTATAGTCTAGTCTATAGTCTAGTCTATAGTCTAGTCTATAGTCTAGTCTATAGTCTAGTCTATAGTCTAGTCTATAGTCTAGTCTATAGTCTAGTCTATAGTCTAGTCTATAGTCTAGTCTATAGTCTAGTCTATAGTCTAGTCTATAGTCTAGTCTATAGTCTAGTTTATAGTCTAGTCTATAGTCTAGTCTATAGTCTAGTCTATAGTATAGTCTAGTCTATAGTCTAGTCTATAGTCTAGTCTATAGTATAGTCTAGTCTATAGTCTAGTCTATAGTCTAGTCTATAGTCTATATGTACTCTATAGTTTAATTTAGTCTACATCTAATCTATGGTCTAATCTAGTCTATATCTACTCTATATTGTAATCCAGTCTGTAGTCTATTATAGTCTAGTCTATGTTTATAGCAAAGTCTACGCTATAGTTTGAACTAAAGTCGATTCTATAGTTTGACTGTAGTCTATAATCAAGTCCATAATCTGGACTAAGGTATTCTCTCATGTTTATATTTTTAAAAACTAAAATAACTTTAATATGTGTTAGTTAGTATCTTTTTTTTTTGACATGTACGGTGACATTCATTAACCCCGTTGTATTACTTTTTTTTGCTAAACATACGGTTGGCACTTTAGCTGATTAGTCTAAAAGCTTATGTTGTCAAATTTGTTTTTGTGTCCATAGTTTTCTCTTTTTCCTATTTAGTCATTTATTAGCAAACTATCTAAGGCAACAAAAAGAGAGTAAAAGGAAATGTAGAAAAAGAACAAAATGTGACTTTGGGTTATGAAACATGGAGTAAATTTTAGCAAATAAACAAGAAATCTTTAAATATATAAAATTTTTAAACTTCCCTGGAATTCGTAAATATGTTGTGGGATATACCAAAAATTTGAATTAATAATAATTTTTGACTAAAATATGAATAATATTTAGTGAAAATTTAAAAATTTAAATTGTTTAATTTCCCCGGAATTCCTAAATACAATTATTTGTTGAATTTTCTAAGGCAACAAAAAGAGAGTAAAAGGAAATGTAGAAAAAGAACAAAATGTGACTTTGGGTTATGAAACATGGAGTAAATTTTAGCAAATAAACAAGAAATCTTTAAATATATAAAATTTTTAAACTTCCCTGGAATTCGTAAATATGTTGTGGGATATACCAAAAATTTGAATTAATAATAATTTTTGACTAAAATATGAATAATATTTAGTGAAAATTTAAAAATTTAAATTGTTTAATTTCCCCGGAATTCCTAAATACAATTATTTGTTGAATTTTCTTAACTTTAAAAATTTATTTTATTTAATAGATTATTCTTGTTGTAATTAATTATGCAGGCCCTTAGGAGCCCTTTCGTTTGCTAAACATGTGTTTAGTAAAGGCATTTTTTTGAGGGGAAAATTAAAACCCTTTTCAACCACAAACTGGTCTTTTAGCATTTAACAAATGTTACACGTTTAAGCATTTGCCAAAAACTGAAAATAATTTGTTTGTTTTTGTTGCTGTTTATTATGAAATATATACTTTATTTTAAGTATATTTATTTGTTTTTTTGAAAATGTCATGTATTACACAACAAAACCATTTGTCCTTAAAACAAATGAGAAACAGAAAGGGAACACAACTTTCATATTGTTAAAGAACAAAAGCTAGTAAAATAATACAGCAAAGAAAAAAAAGTTAATGAATACTTTGTAATTATGCTCTGGGGTAAAAAAAAAGAAAACATTTGGACATGAGGAAAAAAAAATCTACAACTACAAACCTTATAAATACAAAAAGTCATGTTTGAGAAGAAAAAACACGGGAAAATAACGAAAGCAAAAACTCATTTGACTTTATGGTGTTTCTTAAAAGGAAACAAGCAAAAAAAACCTCCAGAAATGAACATAGCAAATGCTATAAAAGAAAATAAACCAAAAGGTTTTCTTAGTTGTAGGTCAGTTTTCTTTTAAAACTATGGCAACCAGCTATACAAGTAGACTTATAAACTAAAGTTAAAGAAAAAGATTGTACATTGTGTGCAATCATCATCATTATTATCATGTTTTCAAGTGATATCATCAAAAAAATGTAAAGAAAAACTACAACTATACATTTTCTAGTAAATAACTATACTTGCACTTACTTTGTGGAAAAAAATATGAAAAAAAACAATATTTTTTTTTAATAACAACAAAGCAAGAAGAACTGCTTAGAAGTTGTAATATAAAAGAAAACTAGAAATTCTCCAATAGATTTATATAAAAATACCAACAAAATATGGAAAAATACCAGAAACCTCTTAAACATTTATGTTTAGTAAAGATTTTTCAATTATAATTAAGAAAAAATTATTTTAAATTTGAATTTCTGGCAATTTCTTAAAGTGGGAGTTTTTTAAAAGTTTTTGGGAATTAAAATTTTTATTAAATTTAAGCTTATTAGCACAAAACAAGTACAGAAAAGTCATAAAAAGCTAAAAATCTTAATAGGGGATTTTTGAAAAATTTTTGGGAATTCAAAAATTTCCACAAAGTTTATAAATTTATGCTCAGAAATAAAATTTTTATGTAAAATTTCACAATTTGTATATTTATTAAAAACAAAAAATATTTAGGATTTATTAAAAAAAACTTTAAATTTTAACTTCCCCGTAATTGCTAATAAGAAAACTTTATATTTAGTTGGAAAAGTTTGATAAAAAAACATATTAGTAGAACAATTTTAAAATGTAAAAGTAAAAAATATCAAAATTTATTAGTATTTGGACTTCCCGAGAAAATTTTTTAATAAGGGAATTTTTGAAAAGTTTTTGGGAATTAAAATTTTGGCGCAATTTAGACATAAAAAACATTTTGTGTTAAAAAGTGTAAAAAGAAAATGCAAAATACTAAATTAAAGAAGTATTTTAACTTACCCAGAATTTTTTTTTAATTGGGATTTTTAAAAAGTTTCTAGGAATTTAAATTTTTCCTAAATGTTAAGATAGTAATTGTAGGCTTAAAATTGCAAAGGAAAACCTTCAAATCTGTAAAAAAGATTTTTGAAAAGTTTTGCAAGGGTAACCTTCTGTAAAGGAGTTTTTTAAAAATGTTTGGGAATTTACAAAATGCTTAAAAATTTATTATAAATTTGACTTTATAAATGTTAAATGTAACTACTTCTTAATAAAACACCAATTTTTGCTTAAAAATGTTTAAATTTTATAAAAATTTCCTTAAAAAGAAAACTTCCCCACAATTCCTAAAGTTTCATTTATTATTTTTTGTGAAAAATAAACATGTTAAAAACATTGGATTTTAATAATTACAAAATGTATGCTCTAAATGTTATAATTTACAAATATTTCAACATCCCCGCAAAATTTTTAAAAATGGGATTTTTAAAAAGTTTTTGGGAATTTAAATTTTTAGCTAAATTTAGGTTTATATCATCATTATTGTAATATTTAAATATAATTTAACAATTTTTATCGCAAAATTTGTATAAAAAAGCAAAATTATTTAGAATTTACTAAAAATTTTACTTCCCCGTAATTTTTAAATTGAAGAGTAAAACATTAAGCTAAAAAGAAACTTTGAAAAACATATTTTTAATAAAAATTAAGTTAATTATTAGCGAAAATACCAGAATTAATAAACATTTCAACTTCCCCAGAATATGTTTTAAAAATTGGGATTTTTGAAAAAATTTTGGGAATTAAATTTTTTGCTAAATTTTGATTCTATCATCATTTTAAGTCAAAAATTTGTATAAAAACCAAAAAATCAAAAAAGGGAATTTTTGAAATTTTTTTGGGAATTTAAAAATTTTTAGAATTTTCAAAATTTTTATCCCTATGAAAGCAGATTTCAGATTTTGTCTTTATGTTGTCTCAAATTACAATATTTTTGTAAGAAATTTAATTTAAGAATAAAATTTTTGGAAATTTCTTTAAAAAGGAAACAATTTAATTTAAGAATTTTAAATTATAAACTTTTCTTTAAACACGCCACTCATTTCAATAGAAATTCCATAAGATTTATAATAATTTAATAAAAACACGCTAAGTCCTGTTCTTTTTCTAAACCATTATTTTCATTCCCTAAAATTCCCCTCTAAACGTATAATTAATTTTAATTTATCTTATTCTTTTCTTTACTAAATATAAAGATAAATCATAAATTTATATTTGGCTATTGTTTTTTTAAATAATTTATTAAGCAATTATTTTGAAAATTTATATTTCTTTAAGAAACTTTGAAACCCCTATAATGTCTTTTTATTTAACTAAGAGTATGATTAATATTAATTTATCTTCAGTTACATATTAATCATACGCTACCATTGTTAACACTTGAAATAGGGGGGGGGGGACTTTTTGTTAAAGTAAAAATCCATAAATTTTGGTTTTGGTCGTTCACTTTCATAACACATCCTTTGTTTAACTGTTTTTTTCTTTTTCGTTTTATTGCAGGTTCTTTTATATTTTTAACAATTGAAAGTGAAGATTCGGCTTACTTGCAACAACAACGAACATTGGCCTCAACAAAACGCAACATACAACCGCACAAACAGCACACGGGGACAACAGGAAGTGGGGTGGCTGGCAGTGGTAGTAGTAGTAGCAGTAGTATAAGTGGGAGTGCTAATGGAGCAGCTTTAGCCGGCACAACAAATAACAATATTTATCAAACACAACAACAACAGCAGCAACAACATACTCCTCCCTTACATTACGATAATGCCACAATAAATGCACCAGCTACATCATCCTCCTCCACCTCCGCTTCCTCCCCCCAAATGATGGAGGGCATGATATCATTGCAAAACAATGATTTTAGTTATGGTGATGATTTTACGCCACAGTATGCCTTGTCACCGGATACTTATGATGTACGTCAAAGGACTATTGAAAATATATGGGATATAACCGTATCCTTAAATATTTTATACAAAGAAAATTGGACAAAGTAGGTTTTTTGCCTCCACTTTAAAAACTCTATAATCATAACTTTTTCTCCTTTCATTTTTTTAGATTGGCTGCTTTAGAAATTGCAAAATTTCAAGACCAATTAATTAAGAGACTGAATGAGGATGCTCTACTACAATTGCCACACGAGGCGGATGTTAATGGCCAGACACCAGCAACGGAAGCTGTTTTACTATTCCATCAACATGGTCTAACACCGCATCATGCGCATCATCATCATCATGAATGGAATTTTGCCCGGGCCTTTCTCTATTCCCTAACTGTGTTAACCACAATTGGTAAGTGCTCGTGGCATTAGATTGACTTGTAACATACATTATTAATAATAACACAAGGAAGAAAAACTGACTAGACAGGAGATCGAACGACAGGCAGGATGTTAGAGACTTAAAGCAAAAATTCAATTATAGATTTTTTTTAATGAATTTGTAAAATTGATGGATGAAAACAGAGATATGGAAAGATGTAAATTTTTTTGAGGAATAAGAGAAGCAAATTAAAGTCTATTGATGAACAATTTTTTCTGAAAGCAATATTAGTTTTGCTTAAAATTATGGCAAAAAAATATGCAACAAATTATTATAGAGATTTTAAATATTAATTCTTCGAGTGTGTACTTTAAATAATATAAAAATATATTTTTTTAAACCAGTTTAAGCACAATTTGCAGCCAATAGTGTTATGAATTAGTATAACTTATTATAATAGTGTTATAGTATGTTTTGTAACTCATTATGATAGAGTTATGTTGTTTGTTAACCTATTATAATAATGTTATAATGTATTTTAATTAATTATAATAGTGTTATAATATAGTATTACGCATTATAATGGTGTTATAATGTATTATAAATCATTATATTATTGTTTTAATTTAGCATAACTCATTATAATCATGTTATAATATATTGAACCTCATTATAATGGTGGTAAAATCATTATAACCTATTACAATAGTGCTATAATATATTATAACTTATTATAATGGAGTTATAATGTACTATAACTCATTATAATACTACTATAATATAGAAAAACTCATTATAATAGTGATATAATGTATTATAACTGATTATAATGACATTATAATGTACTATAACTCGTTATAATAGGGTTATAATATATTATTGCTTAATTTAAATATATTATAATGTATTACAACTCATTATAATGGTGTTATAATATATAATTACTTATTATAACGGTGTTATAATATTTTATTACTCATTATAACGGTGTCATAATATGGTACAGCGCATTATAATGGAGTTATAACGTACTATCACATATTATAATAGTATTATAATTCTTTATAACTCATTATAATCATGTTAAAATATAGTAATACTAATTATAATAATATTATAATACATTATAATTCATTATAACACCATTATAATGAATACTGCTATATTATAATATCATTTCCATAAACAAATGTTTAACCATTCACAAATCATCAAATAATTTAGATTCACAAAACAAAAAGAAAATTTCTTCGTAGTTTCTCAACACAATTTCTTTAAAATTCTTAAAAAGGTTCAATAAAATTTCTTCAATTTTTTTCTAATTCTTGGCCAAATTTCCCCAAAATTTATTGTTTTAAATGCAAAAAAGCCTAATATTAAAACTTCACAATTTTTTGCCATTCAACACTTAAGCTATTTGTATTAAAAGCTATACAATAAAAGCACTCGCACAAAAAAGTGAGTGAAGATAAATATGCCGAGTTAAATATGTAATGACGTAAAGAGTTACGTCATTACATATTTGCAAATATGTCTCACGTAGTTGAAAAATATGGGTTAAATACAAATTTGACATATTTCCAAATATGTTTTTGTATTTTCCCCGCATTTCTAGCAAAATTAATATTTTTAAAATTAAAAACCTTAAATGACAGGAAATTGATCCCCTACCCTTATCTTTAAATGCACATATTTAAAAAACGCCATGTTTTGACTTTTAACACCTTTTCATAGTAGTTGAAGAATTATTCGAAAACCTTAAGTCTTTCCTCTATGAAATGCTGCAAACGGACGGGGCATAGCTCAAATAAAAGGGAATCGAATCCCCTACCGAAATCTTAAAATATATTTTCAAAAAGTTGAAATTTCGATTTTTGTAGATTTTTTCAAAATAAAAATTTTACAAAATTTTAACTTTCTCCACACAAAAAGGGTTAATGGGGCGGGTAATACCTCAAATTAAAGGAAATCGATCCCTCTACCGTAACATTTAAGTACATTTTCAAACAATAATTTTTTCGATTTTTGTCGATTTTTTCAAAATTAAAATTTTACAAAATTTTAACTTTCGTCCCCACCAAAAGGGTTAATGGGGCGACTCATACCTCAAATTAAAGGGAATCGATCCCTCTACCGTAACATTTAAGTACATTTTTAAAATGTGGAAAATTCGATTTTTGACGATTTTTTCAAAATAAAAATTTTACAATATTTTAACTTTCGTCCCCACCAAAAGGGTTAATGAAGCGAGTCATACCTCAAATTAAAGGGAATCGATCCCTCTACCGTAACATTTAAGTATATTTTCAAAAAATAATTTTTTCGATTTTTGTCGATTTTTTCAAAATAAAAATTTTACAATATTTTAACTTTCGTCCCCACCAAAAGGGTTAATGGAGCGAGTCATACCTCAAATTAAAGGGAATCGATCCCTCTACCGTAACATTTAAGTACATTTTCAAAAAGTGGAAAAATCGATTTTAACTTTCGTCCCCACAAAAAGGGTTAATAGGGCGGGTCATACCTCAAATTAAAGGGAATCGATCCCTCTACCGTAACATTTAAGTACATTTTCAAAAAGTGGAAAAATCGATTTTTGACGATTTTTTCAAAATTAAAATTTTACAAAATTTTAACTTTCGTCCCCACAAAAAGGGTTAATGGGGCTAGTCATACCTCAAATTAAAGGGAATCGATCCCTCTACCGTAACATTTAAGTATATTTTCAAAAAATAATTTTTCCGATTTTTGTCGATTTTTTCAAAATAAAAATTTTACAATATTTTAACTTTCGTCCTCACCAAAAGGGTTAATGGAGCGAGTCATACCTCAAATTAAAGGGAATCAAACCCTGCACCGTAACATTTATGTACATTTTCCAAAAGTGGAAAATTCGATTTTTGTAGATTTTTTTAAAATAAAAATTTTACAAAATTTTTACTTTCGTCCCCACCAAAAGGGTTAATGAGGCGAGTCATACCTCAAATTAAAGGGAATCGATCCCTCTACCGTAACATTTAAGTACATTTTCAAAAAGTGGAAAAATCGATTTTTGACGATTTTTTCAAAATTAAAATTTTACAAAATTTTAACTTTCGTCCCCACGAATCGATTCCTCTACGATTCCTCCTCTAGATTTTTGACGATTTTTTCAAAATAAAAATTTTACAATATTTTAACTTTCGTCCCCACCAAAAGGGTTAATGGAGCGAGTCATACCTCAAATTAAAGGGAATCGATCCCTCTACAGTAACATTTAAGTACATTTTCAAAAAGTGGAAAAATCGATTTTTGACGATTTTTTCAAAATTAAAATTTTACAAAGTTTTAACTTTCGTCCCCACAAAAAGGGTTAATAGGGCGGGTCATACCTCAAATTAAAGGGAATCGATCCCTCTACCGTAACATTTAAGTATATTTTCAAAAAATAATTTTTCCGATTTTTGTCGATTTTTTCAAAATAAAAATTTTACAATATTTTAACTTTCGTCCTCACCAAAAGGGTTAATGGAGCGAGTCATACCTCAAATTAAAGGGAATCAAACCCTGCACCGTAACATTTATGTACATTTTCCAAAAGTGGAAAATTCGATTTTTGTAGATTTTTTTAAAATAAAAATTTTACAAAATTTTAACTTTCGTCCCCACCAAAAGGGTTAATGAGGCGAGTCATACCTCAAATTAAAGGGAATCGATCCCTCTACCGTAACATTTAAGTACATTTTCAAAAAGTGGAAAAATCGATTTTTGACGATTTTTTCAAAATTAAAATTTTACAAAATTTTAACTTTCGTCCCCACCAAAAGGGTTAATGAGGCGAGCCATACCTCAAATTAAAGGGAATCGATTCCTCTACGATTCCTCCTCTAGATTTTTGACGATTTTTTCAAAATAAAAATTTTACAATATTTTAACTTTCGTCCCCACCAAAAGGGTTAATGGAGCGAGTCATACCTCAAATTAAAGGGAATCGATCCCTCTACAGTAACATTTAAGTACATTTTCAAAAAGTGGAAAAATCGATTTTTGACGATTTTTTCAAAATTAAAATTTTACAAAGTTTTAACTTTCGTCCCCACAAAAAGGGTTAATAGGGCGGGTCATACCTCAAATTAAAGGGAATCGATCCCTCTACCGTAACATTTAAGTATATTTTCAAAAAATAATTTTTTCGATTTTTGTCGATTTTTTTCAAAATAAAAATTTTACAATATTTTAACTTTCGTCCCCACCAAAAGGGTTAATGGAGCGAGTCATACCTCAAATTAAAGGGAATCGATCCCTCTACCGTAACATTTAAGTACATTTTCAAAAAATAATTTTTTCGATTTTTGTCGATTTTTTCAAAATAAAAATTTTACAAAATTTTAACTTTCGTCCCCACAAAAAGGGTTAAAGGGTCGAGTCATACCTCAAATTAAAAGAAATCGATACCCCTACTGTTGCCTTCAAATGTTTTTTCAAAAAGTAAAATTTTTCTATTAAAAAAAATTATTTTCTGTTTTTAGAACATTATTCAATATAGTTATTTTTATTTATTTTTTTTTTTGTATCGAGTTTTGAAAAATTTCCCGTGAAATTTTTAACGGAGTACTAAGCTTTATTCGAAACGATCTAGCCATGTCCGTCCGTCTGTCCGTCTGTCTTGAAAACACGATAGAGTCCAAATGGAAGTAGCTAGCGACCTGAAATTTTGCAGAGATACTTATAGTTGATGCAGTTTATTTGGTATTGAAAATGGGCAATATCGGACCACGATTTTGCCTAGCCCTATATAAGGCCCCCTTCAGAAAATGACTTTATCGCCCATAACTGGCTAAGAAAAGCATCAATAGCAGAGAAATTCGGCACAAATATGTTTTATGGGAACATAAATCTCTATATAGAATTTTATAAGGATCGGTCCATAATTGACCCTACCCCCATATGAATTCCCCTTCAGAAAATGACTTTATCGCCCATAACTTGTTAACAGAAGCATCAATAGCGGTGTAATTCGGCACAAACATGTTCTATAGAGACATAAATCT